CCGCCTACACTGCCGCCGCTGACACCTCCACTCCTGCCACCACTCCCGCTACCACCCTCACCTCCTCCGCTGCCTCCACCGCCGCCTCCACCGCCCCCGCCGCCTCCACCACCGCCCCTGCCCCCTTTGCCCCTGCCAGGGCGATGTCTCCCACTGGGGGCAGACGCCGCACCGACCGACTCAAAACCAACTAGGTCGGCCGTAGCAGCAGAGGCGACACAGGGCAGGAGGGGGGAGGGGGAACACCCCTCAAAGATGGGGGTGCGCTGGTCACCACGAGAGGCCCCTACAGCGAGAATGCTCTTCTCGGCTGCTAGGAGGGACTTCTCGAGGAGGTCAACAGTGAGAGTGGTGGGGCAGACTGAGAGGAAGTCGTCCCTGACTCCGCGAAGGGAGTCAGGGAGGCGGGTGACAATGTAGTAGAGAGTGAAGTACATGGGGGGGGGGGTTCTTGGCGCAGAACTCAGCAGGAAGCGCAGCGCGGAAGCAAGCGTCACTAGTGCGCAGGTGGGTAATGAGGTCGGCGACTGTGGCAAAAGAAGCAAGGTCGGGAAAGAGGTACGGTAGCATGAGGCGGCTCAGTGCAGCAGTGGCAGGGGAGGAGTAGCGTGCAATAACGGCGTCGTACAAGGTCTGAGCACTCTTGTACGACCCAAAGTGTGCACGCTCAGAGGGAGGGAGGTGGCGACGCACAGCAAGACGTGCAGCAGCATCGCGTGTGGCCCACTGTGAGCGAACAGTGGCATCCTCAGTAGCAGCAAGGGCGGGAGAGGCACCAGAAGTGAGATCAAAGAGAGAGAGGCCGTCAGCTCTGTCGCACTGTAGGAAAAGCAGCAGGTCGTCTACCCACAGGTCAAAGTCGATGGCTCTGCCCTCAGCGTCAAAGGTGAGGACACTGGGGGTAGCCATGACAGCAGTAGGGTGAGGGCAGTGCGGAGAGTAAAGCTCAGTGCTCACCAGACAGGGCAGTGCAGGCGGCTCAGGCGGCTCAGGCGGCTCGGCGGCTCGGCTGCTGGGCGGCTCGGGCGGCTCGGCGGCTCGGGCGGCTCAGGCGGCTCGGCTGCAGGGGCGGCTCGGCTGCAGGGGCGGCTCGGCTGGTGGGGCGGCTCGGCTGCTGGGGCGGCTCGGCTGCTGGGGCGGCTCGGCTGCTGGGGCGGCTCGGCTGCTGGGGCGGCTCGGCTGCTGGGGCGGCTCGGCTGCTGGGGCGGCTCAGCAGCTGGGCCGGGAGATGCAGTGGCGGGGCCGTCAGGGGCAGTGGCGGGGCCGGTAGGTGAAGCGGCGGGGCCGTCAGGTACAGCAGCGGGGCCGGCAGGTGTAGCGGCGGGGTCGGTAGGTGCAGTGGCGGGGCCGTCAGAGGGGACGGCGGGGCCGTCAGGTGCAGCGGCGGGGCCGTCTGAAGCAGCGGCGGGGCCGTCAGAGGGGACGGCGGGGCCGTCAGGTGCAGCGGCGGGGCCGTCTGAAGCAGCGGCGGGGCCGGTAGAGGGGACAGCGGGGCCGGCAGAGGGGACAGCGGGGCCGTCGGGTGCAGCGGCGGGGCCGGCAGAGGGGACGGCGGGGTCGTCGGGTGCAGCGGCGGGGCCGGTAGAGGGGACGGCGGGGCCGTCGCAGGCGATCGCGGGGCCGTCAGAGACGGCGACGGCGTCGCGAGGGTCAGAGGGGGCGGCGCGCGACTGGAGGGCGGCACGCGCGACGCGGCGCGGCCGTCTAGGGCGGCGCGACGAGGCCGCGTAGGTGGCGCGCCAAAAAATCGAGGGCGGCTCGACGAGATCGGGCCGCCAAAGGAAAAAAAAAGGCAGAGCGCGACTCGGGCTAGGGCAGAGCGCGCTCCGGGCAGGAGTGAATAGTAGGTGGGCCCTAGGAACAGTTCCCACTAGGGAACCTGCTCTGATACCATGTTGAGATAGAGGCGAGGAATGATGCACTATGGAATGAAAGAAGTACAAGTACCAACCCTAATTGGGTTGTACCCCCTATGGGCTACCCCACTACAGCCTACATATATGCATCAGCAATATATAATCATCTGACACAAACCAGTTCCTATGGCAAGGTAATTGATTGAGATACCTGAATGTGTGAAGAAATGGTTCTAAAAGATACAATCAGACGATGAAACGGTGACATGTTGCGTACTGGCCTATCCTTGCACAGTTTCAGGCCATGAAACGCACAAACAAGCGTCACGTGATGCTTAGTTGTGCGAATGAGTTCAAACTAGGTCCTATGGCTTGGTAATTGATTGAATTACCTGATTGTGTGAAGAAATGGCTCTAAAAAAAACAACCAGACGATGAAACAGTAACATGTTGCGTACTGGCCTATCCTTGCACAGTTTCTAGCCATCGAAAGCACGAACAAGCGTCACATGCTGCGTAGTTGTGCGAATGAGTTCAAACAAGTTCATATGGCTAGGTAATTGATTGAACTACCCGAATGCTTGAAGAAATGGTGCTAAAAAAGACAACCAGACGATGAAACGGTGACATGCTGCGTACTAGCCTATCCTTGTACAGTTTCAAGCCATCGAACGCACGAACAAGCGTCACGTTCTGCGCAGTTGTGCGAATGAGTTCAAACAAGTTCTTATATCTAGGTAATTGATCGAACCACCTGAATGTTTGAAAGGATGGTGCTTAAAAAACAACCAGACGATGAAACGGTGACATGTTGCGTATAGTCATATCCTTGCACATTTCCAGGCCATCGAGCGCACAAACAAGCGTCACGTGCTGCGTAGATGTGGGAATGAACTCAGTGGTAAAGCCGGTTAGACCGACTCGCCAATAAGTAGGGTATTGTAGCTGAAAAAAAGACAAACACTGTAAACACATCCAATATCGTACCACACTAGTAACATAAAAAGCATAGCATATTACAACATTGCATAAAAAACTAAACATGTGTAGAATGTTCGTACTGGAAACTAACTGACCGTTAACCAAGAAATACATGACTTGTTTGCTTAACCACAACCAAAATGTGGTCCATTCGTTCGATAATTCGTAATAATGAAATGTGTTAAACGATGCCGATAAAACAAATGGTAAGCGTTATGACGTAACAAGAAGATCAAAAGCGGCTTTTCAAAATGATGATGTTTTCAAACCTACGAAAAATGTGGTCCATATACAGCCATAAATTAAAGCTCATTTCGAGTGTTCAAGTATACAACAGTATGATTTAGGACTTTCGTAGGTATAAACGAAATATTACAAACGAGGCGCTGACGTGGTCGATAGAGTGGTGGAAATAGGTTCGAGTAGAGGTGCGCGTTGTCTCCCGTAAACCACCGTTTGCCCCAGCTCCCCAGCCCTCGAGCCACTGAGGCGCACGTCAGAGTGCGTCCGCCCAGTAAACTGGCCCCCTTGGTCAATTTCCGCCAGAAACAACACCCCCCCAACTTCCCCCTTCCTCCCGCTTTCCGAGGTCCCACGAAACTGCGGATTCCACCCGCTTCATGCCATTCGCGCCGGTAAACTGCCAACCCTAGACCAACACCCCACCCCATCTCGTAAATGGCCAATTACGAGGCCGGTTTTGAACAAAAAAAAATGCTAAGTCCCCGTCGCTCCGTTTTGGGCGGATTGCAATTTTTCTGATGAAGTAGGTGCCGATCGCAATTTGGATCCTGTTTCTCCTGTCATCGACGATCTCCTGTCGTTAACCGCGAGCCAACCGTGCGACTACCATCCGCGACTCGCTCTTGCTGTCGGGGGTTCAAGGACGGGACATCGCTATTCTACAGTTTTCACGACGTTTGCAAATGGTGGAAGTTTTGTTGGTGAGGTGACGACAACAAGAACAACATTAGTCTCATGGGTATCAGTTGTTTGTTCCTAGTGGATCGCGTTAGAGTAACGTGGTGTCGCACTGAAGAATGCCCTCAAGGCGAGTGTCGCAAAAGTCGAGAAAAGGAAAACGGGAGGGAGAATCACATCCTCGTCAATAGCAAAGTCGTGCGTGTATTTGCACTCCGCCCTATCCCCTTTTCCCGCTCTCAGTAGAGTTGATAATAATATCGCCCCACTCTCCATATGTCACCATGCAACAGGGCCTGTGCTAGGATTTTGGGCACCCTGAGCCCTCAGGGTAACTTTTGAAAAATCTCTGAAATGCCCTGATTCTTCAGGGCAAAATTTTCTGGCCATCCTGAAATTTCAGGGCACCAGCAGAAATTCATCAGGATGATCCAGGGCAAAAAATACGAGGCACTAGAGAGGATGGAGGGGAAGGCACGAAAGGAGCAGGTTGTTCACTGGTTTCACTTCTACTGGCGGAGCAAAAACATTGGTGGGGGAGGGGTGAGGACAAAACTAGCACACACACCCTCCAGCCTCCTTCCTCCCCTCTCTCCCTCTCCCTCTCTCCCCCCTCCACCCTTTCTCCCCTTAGAGTCAGGGAATCCCTCTACATTCACCCTAACGCTTCAGGGCAAAAATTCACTGCCATTCTGAAATTTCAGGGCAAAACACAAGGATCATCCTGACGTCACAGGGTAAATTTCAGCATCATTCTGAAATTCCAGGGCAAACTTAAGACACCATCCTGAAATCAGGGTAATCAAGATGTTTTGCCCTGATATCGTGGGCCCTGCCATGCAATACCCAATTTCTTATACCCATGTTCAAATATCGCATAGACAACGTGAAAGCACAGATTGATTTACTGTACTAGTGCCCTTTGGCTGGCAACCTGCGGCCCAGCCCCGCTGCCCAGCCCTCTCCATCTCTGTCTACTCCTGCTTCCAAACCTCAGTTGTAGGCTCATGAAGAACCCAAACAAGCAACATCAACTATGTTTGGCATGAAGGAGCAGCTTCAAATCTGAAAAAAGGCATTTCTTACAGCACTTGCACCTAGTTAATGTAACCGATGCCGCTTCCAACAAACGACATCACAACCCCCATAACTGTAGGTTTCAAAACCAGCTATAGCTTAAGCTCTGGCCAGCTCAGCAATCACTCAGGCAGCACTAGGCAGTGCATGTGGCTTGTGGGGGCTTCAGCGCACGGCGACGTGCTTGGAGCCGGTGCCCACCTGCCCCCTCTCGCTGCGGCGCAGCGCCTTGTGCAGGTTGTAGGCGTAGGCCAGCGCCGCCTTGTTCAGCCGTGGCTCGTACGTCTTTAGCTGTTGGGGGGAGGTGGGGGGGGAGGAGAGGAGAGGGGGAGCGGGGAAGGGGAGAAAGGGATAGCACGAGATGGGTGGAGTGCAGGCTGTAGGCGTAAGTCAGCGCCGCCTTGTTCAGCCGCGGCTCATACGTCTTTGGCTGTTGGGGGGGAACAGGGGGGAAAAGGAAGGGAGGATGGGGGGAAAGGAGTGAGGATGAGGAGTGCGCAAGAGGGGAATAGGGGTAGGGGTATGTCAGCACTGCAATGTTCAGCCGCGGCTCGTATGTCGTTAGCTGATGGGAACTGGGGAAGAGAGAGGGGAGGGGGGCGGGTAGAAGTGATTTGGAGTAGAGTAGGGAATCGGGGTTGATTGGTGCAATGCAGTGTGTCAGTACAGTACCGCCTTGATCAGCCATGGCTCGCATGTATTCAGCTCAGCTGATATGGGATGGGGGAAGGGAGAGGCGTTGCGGAGTGCGGAGAAAGTTGTGTGCAGGAGATGCGTGTCGAATGGAAACGCCTGAGCTGACTTCCCAGCTTGTGGGGGTACAGCAGACAGAGGGCGGGGAGGGTGGAATTGAGGGGAGGGGGGGTGCCGGGATTGGAGAGGAGCCTTGGGAGGGAGGAACGAGGGGAGGGCTGATCACTAGTGGGTGTTGCTATCAGCGCGCACTACTACCACTGGTGCCCTGAACGCAACTGATAGTTGATATTATAACGAAGCTCCTTCTCGCTGCTTATAACGCACCTGGTCCGCACCTCAACCTCGCTGCTTATAACGCAACCTGTCCGCACCTCATCCTCGCTGCTTATAACGCACCCGGTCCGTGATGTTTTTGGCGATCTGCGGCATGTCCTTCTTGAGCACGATCACCTCGCGCGCCTCGGCGGGCTTGTGCGCCTTGTCGGGGTGCGTGATCGTCATCTCCAGGTTCTGCCCCTTGCCCGTTGCGCGGATCGCCACCGTCTTGCCCGCCGCCAGACCTGGTTATGGGTGGGGAGGGGGATAGAGTGGGATGCAGAAGGTTCGCCAGCGCGTGGACAGGAGAGGGGAGGGAGTGCAGGAGACAAGCTTCCCTCATCTCCAGGTTCTGCCGCTTGCCCTTCGTGTGGATCGCCACTGTCTTTCCCGACACCAGGCCTGGTTTGGGAGGGGGGAAGAGGGTAGTGCGGGCTGGTGTGACCTGCCGACGAAACGAGAAACGGCGCGATGCCCCATGTTCGATGCAGCGGCTTTCCACGATCTCTGCGCGCCGATGTTGAATTCAAAAGAAAAGGTTTGGATTCGAAAAATCCTGGATCCGCCTGCTTCTCCAAGTACATCTGGTAGCTACTTAAATCGCCCCCTTTCGCGATTAATGAGGCGCCGGAAAAGTTGTTACACAGGCGTCCCTTTTTGGGTCACAAAAACAGATGCGAGAACGTCTCCGGTGCTCCCCATAACACGGAAATGCGACTCTGAGCGGCGGACTCGACGGATGGCAGTGCGGCCTGATATTCGTCTAATCGCGTGGCGCTAATCGAGCCATAAACCGATAATCATCTCGTGCTACCTCATCACCTCACGCCCCGCTGTTGCAACATTCGCTTTTGCGATATCCACTTATTGCAACATCTGCTTATTGCAACATCCGATATGCTGCGTTAGCAAAGTTTGCAAAAAAACTGCTTCAAAAGGATCAGGACGCGTCAGCGCGCATCTGCGCACTTGCGGGGGCGCGTACCGGTGTACTTGCGCGAGTGGAGCGCGACGAGGTTGTTGGGCTCGCGGCTGAGGTGGCGCTTGGAGCCGACGGCCGTGCGCGCCTTGTAGCAGTGGCCCTGGTTCAGCAGCACCCACACCAGGTCGTCGGACGCGTTGGGGTAAGCCATGGCGCGACGAATGTGAAGACGGAGGGAAGTGGGAGGTAGTGGAAGCAAAGCACGTGAAAGCAGGAGGAAGTAGTAGGTCAAGGAAAGGAAGGATTGAAGAGGATGGAGGGTTTTAGTCGACGAGGGATGGAGGCTAGGGTTTGCGAGTGAGGGCGAGTTGCTAGTTTAGCCCAAAGCGGTGGGTCATTTCCAGGTAGGATTCACTTATGGAAATGAATAAATATATTAGCAGCGTACACAATATTATCTGATATTAGAATAAAGTGAATTGAAAATCCGATGCTAGTCTCTTTATATATTCAGAAAAAGTGGCAATCATTATTTTCCCGGAACATATGAATGTTCATTCTCTAAACGGAGAGATTAGATTATAACTGCTTTGATTATAACGGAAGCATGTCAAAGAGTGAGCTCAAATCGAAAACATCTATCCGATTTCCCCACCGCCATGTGGCTCCCCGTCAGCGCGCCGCCTTGGGGTGATCCCTACATGCATGAGTTTGAATGGCGCAGATTCATTTACAGTCCAAGCCGCCACCTCCACCATTGTTATTTCAAAGCCAAGTAAAACAGGCCTCACCCATTCTTCGCACCTGCTCGTCTGCCAAGGGATAGAACGTGACCATGGCATCCACCGCGATTCCCGCTACGCTGTATCAGACCAGGAGCTTGTACCAGAACCGTGAAAAACAATGCCGACCGCAAGCGCAAGAGCCCGCGCCGTGCACCCAATTCGCCTGCACTGGCCGTTCGCTTCGTTTGCCATCTCGCGACGGCGTTGCTGCTGTCGGCGGGAGACGCACGGGATCTGCGGTTTCGCGTCGTCGGTTGGCGATTGTCTCCGCGACGGGAACGAATGTCGCTGCAGATGCGGACGTGGACTTGTACGAGCTTCTCGGGGTTGATCGTAGCACGGATAAAACTGAGCTGAAACGCGCGTTCCGCAAGCTGGCGCTTCAAGCTGAGTGTTGTATTCGGTTCGAGAGAAAGAGAGAAAGACAAAGAGAGTAAGAGAGAGATAGAGCCACTCTAAGCAAGCATAAGCCACGTCCTTGCCTCACACCCCTCTGCTGTCACTCTCCGTATAGTCACGGCCCGTTGGCGTTCCGTTTCGCGTAATGTCCACCGCGACTCGCTCATACCGCCGACGACGCTGTAGGCCAGTAGTAACGGTCGGTGGCGGCTCCGTACACGTCATGACGCACACGTGTACCTCCCACAGTGGCCAAGTGCATTCCAATCACAGTCGCTCCTGGTTTCCCGTCCCTCACTCCCATCCTGCCCCCTCTCTTCCTCGTCTCTGCCTCATTTCTTCCACGCATCTGTCTCCTCCCTGCCCTCCTCGTCCTCCCTCCCCGCCTCCCTCGCGGCCTCCCTCCCTACAGTACCACCCAGATGTCAACAGCGACCCGGGGGCGGCAGACACCTTCATTCAGCTCAGTAACGCGTACGAGGTAACGGGCTGCTCTCACCACTGCCTGCGCTTGCCTCGTTATAATCATCCTCCAAGACTGTCTGCGCAGTCTCAATGCTGCTCACTCCACTCCACCCACTCGCCTCCACCTGCCGACCCAACTCCAAAGCCGCCATCGCCAGTCGGTATCTCTCCCTAGCTGTTGGCCACACGTCACGACATACCATTCACTCGCTCCCACAGCGCGCACAGCACTTGTAATCCTGGACGATGGGCAGTCATTTGTAAATGCACTCTCAAGTACACAGCCCCTCCCACTTCTCCCCCCTTGTAGGATACTCTCAAGTGCGCTGGTGGGCGTGGATGAGGAACGGAACAGAGGGCGCTGTACGACACGATACGACGCACCTTCACTTCACTGCAACATGCACCACTGCAACATGCACCACTGCAAAGCCCCTCCCACCCACTGGTCCTCCCCCTCCCCCACAACGCACCCATTCCATCAGGTGCTGGTGGGCCGTGGATGAGGAGCACAAGGCCCTGTATGACACCCTAACACACGCCACTGCACACACCTTCCCACTCCGCTCCGCTCCCCGCCCCGCTCCCCGCCCCGCCCCCCGCCCTCATCAGGTGGTGGACGAGGAGCAGAGGGCGCTGTACGACCGGTTTGGGGCGGCAGCGCTGAGTCGACTGAAAAATCACACACCAGTACTTCGCGCCTCTCACCCTTCCCCCCCCGCCCCCCATCAGGTGCTGGTGGACGAGGAGCAACGGGCGCTGTACGACCGGTTTGGGGCGGCAGCGCTGAGCCGCGACTTTATGTCGGGCAGAGAGGGCAGCGCACAGCGCAAGGGAGCGGCGTGGGAGGCGTTTGACACGTGGGACGAGTTCCAGCCGTTCCAGCGCAAGTGAGGCAGTCTAGTGGGACACGGGTGGTGTGGTGTGATGTCAGTGAGCCGCTATGAGTTGAGGTGAGGTGTCCGTGAGGTGAGGTGAGGTGGGGTCTGCCAGTGCAAGTGGCTGTTTCAGCACAAGGTGTTCAATCCACGTGGTATGAGTGGGCCCCACCAATAAAGGTGCAGGTGGTGACTGCAAGGTGAGTGTCTTGGGAAGGCACACGCTGACAACCTTCTCCCAGTGTCATGTCACTGAGCCAACCTTCTCCCAGTGTCATGTCACTGAGCCTTGCTGGGTGGGAAGACAGCAAGTGCTCACATGTGTGATGAGTTGCTGTTGGGTGGGTCGTCAGTGCTAGTGCTGGGTAGCATGACGGAAGCGTGAGGGTGGTTTGAGGTCATCTCTGCAATCCCTTGTGCCGCTATCTGCATGTGCCATGGTGCCACGTGGCATGTGTTCAGTGGCAGCGGGATATGGCATATGGCGAGCAGCATGTGGCATGTCGCGAGTAGGAGACATACCATGTGGCATGAAGCGTGCACCATGTGCAGCATGCTGTACACCCCCTCACACAATCCCCCCTGCTGCCACCCCCCCTGCTGCCACCCCCCCTGCTGCCACCCACCCCCCCTGCTGCATAACCCCCCCTGCTGCATACCCCCCCTGCTGCCACCTCCCCTGCTGCATAACCCCCCCTGTGGCATAACCCCCCCTGCTGCATAACCCCCCCTGCTGCATAACCCCCCCTGCTGCATAACCCCCCTTGCTGCATAACCCCCCTTGCTGCATAACCCCCCCTGCTGCATAACCCCCCCTGCTGCATAACCCCCCCTGCTGCATAACCCCCCTTGCTGCATAACCCCCCTTGCTGCATAACCCCCCTTGCTGCATAACCCCCCTTGCTGCATAACCCCCCTTGCTGCATAACCCCCCTTGCTGCATGGCAGGACGCGCAAGGGCGACGCGAGGCAGGCAGCAGCAAGCAGGTGGTCGTCAGACAGCGAGAGTGAGGGCGAGGGGGAGGGCCAAGGAGCGGGGGCAGCAGGGGCAGGGGTGGTGGAGGCGGTGACAGGCGATGTGGTGGAGTACCCACTCTCTGCTGCTGTCAGGGACAGATTCGATGACGGCCGCACCAAAGGTCAGCCTCTGCTCTTGCCCTCTCGTGCCCTCCCTTGCCCCCTCTTGCCCTCTCGTGCCCTCCCTTGCCCCCTCTTGCCCTCTCTTGCCCTCTCTTGCCCTCTCTTGCCCTCTATTGCCCTCTCTTTCCCTCTCTTGCCCTCTCATGCCCTCTCGTGCCCTCTCTCTCTCTTGCCCTTTCTTGCCCACTCGTGCCCTCTCTAGTCCTCTCTCGGCCTGACGTGTCGCCGTATCACATCACTCAGCCCTGCCGTGTTCTTCTCCTTTCATCTCCTCTTCCTCCCTTTCCATGTGCGTACAGGCGTTGGCTTCGTGGTTGGCCGCAATAAAGGTGCGCTGCTTCCCTGCCACGCCCCTTGTCTTGCTCTCTTCCACCCTGCCACCCACTGCTTCTTCTGTGTTGCCTCCCTTATGGTCAATTACCTCGTCTGCACATAGCACCCGAAGCTTGCTCCCTCATCTGCCAGCACATCCTCCTCATCTGCCAGCACATCCTCCTCATCTGCCAGCACATTCTCCTCATCTGCCAGCACATTCTCCTCATCTGCCAGCAGAACCCCCCAATCCGCCACTACCACCTCCCCTTGTCCCTCCAACAGACCGTGGCGATCGCCACAAGCTCCCACCCGAGGTGAGAAGAGCCTCTGATGTCCGTGCATCAAGTGGGAGAAGAGCCTCTGATGTCCGTGCATCAAGTGGGAGAAGAGCCTCTGATGTCCGTGCATCAAGTGGGAGAAGAGCCTCTGATGTCCGTGCATCAAGTGTGTCGAGCGTTTGTTGATTCATGCATGCGTGCTGCGTCTCGTCTATGCCCTTTTCTGCCTACATACTTTCCTCATTGCATTCGCTTCCCCCGTTGTTTTCCTGCCTCACATTTCCGTCATCCCAATCTCCTCCCTATCGAGGTGTATGTAGCTGGTGGAGACACAGCCGTAGAGTCAGAAGCAGCGAAGGTGGTTTCTAGCAACTGCTCTGACTGCCCTCATCTCTCAGCTCTCTCCTCTGCACCTTTGGTCGCTGGACCTCTCCTAACCCCTCTGAACCCCTCCGCGTGCTGCCAGAACCTGGGGCTGGTGGAGATAGAGCCGCTATTCCAGGAGGCAGGCGAGGATGTGTGGCAGACAGACGCCCTTGAGAGTGCCGCCTTCGCCTCTCTGCCCGACCTCAGAGTGCTGCGCACTGTGAGCTCTCCCCCTCTCACTTGCTCTGCGCCCTGCCATTCCCCTTCCCCTTGATTTTGCGCCCTTCCATCCCCCCTGCCCCGCCACTGCCCTACGTCCTGCCACTCCCCTCCTCCCCACACTCTCCTGCTCTGCGCCCTGTCATCCCGCTCCCCTTCCCCCACTCTCCTGCTCTGTGCCTTGCCATCCCCCTCCCCTTCCCTGCTCTCCTGGTCTGCACCGTTCTAACCCCCTCCTCCCCCGATTTTCTTGCTCTGTGCCCGCCATCTCCCCTCCCGCTCTCCTACTCTGTGCCCTCCCATCCGCCCCCCCTCCATACTCTCCTGCTCTGTGCACTGCCATCCCCCTCCCTCGTTCCCCACTCTCCTGCCCTGCTCTCTGTCAACCCCCTGCCCACCATGCATGTCGGCAGGAGTTTGACAAGAGGACCGACTCATGGCGCATTCTGGATGCCCTGTCGCCGGGGTGTGGAAGCCCCGTATATGACGAGGAAATCATCGTGTAGTAGCCCCATTGCACTGCGCGCTCTTCCATGCCCCCTGCCCTGCCGCTGCTCTGCGCCCTGCCATTCCCGCTGCCTCGTACCGTAGATTATCTACACAAGTTATTGTTGTCTAGCATGGATATGCGTTATCGTGTACGATGAGGACATTATTGTCTAGCAGACCCTCAGATTGGTTTCAGCATGCTGATGGATCAGTGCGCCTTGCCCAAAGTTGTGACCAAATCAGTGTTCGGGGGTAGGTTTATGCTGATTTTGTCAGTGTGGAATCTCATGGCTAAATGAATAATTTTTGTAGAGAAACAATTTAAAACCCGAGGTCAGCATGGTAATTTTTCAAGTTATGTGGGGTTGAAACAGTTAGGCGAAAACCTGAAAATCGTGAATTTCGAAAATGTGTGTGGGGCGAAACCGAATTCAGGAGGCGGGAAAAACAGTCTTCGCCACGATACTATGCGACAGCTGTCCCCGAGGATATGGGAGGGCCGAACGACCCAGTGTGCGACAGAGCACTGCTCCCGCCCCAGCACTGGTGGGGCACACTGCGCTTCTCTTGGGGTTGAAATGGTGGGGAACGCGAAACTCGCGAGTAAGAGTGAGGCAGTAAACTGAACAATATTTCCTGTGATTACTAATCGACTAAAATATTTGGATAAGTTTGAGACTTCACCTCAGAATTGTTGGAAACAATAAGTCTTAAGTGCGCTTCTGTCGTGTCAAAATCCAAGGCACCAAGCGAAGCAGTCCCAATCGAAGCATCGAGTCAACCTCGGAGGTTAGGGTAACCGCCTGGAGGTTACGAGAAAGTCAAAGGTCAGCGACCTTTGACTCGACAAATTACAGCGCGACAGTTAAGGACACACAACTGACTCGTTACAGAGCAGTTGCCCGAGTCGCACTATATCGAACCGCAACAGCAATACAGTTATCTATCTATTCGTATTCCCTGTACTCTTATATAAATCCTTGTACTTGCTTGTTTAATTTAATCTACTTTGCTCTCACACACCAGTGGCAAGGTCGGTTCACAATCTTCATTAAACGCTTCCGCTATTACAAGTTTCTACCCAAGAGTCATCCTCTGCAAAGATCCTAAGGGCTTCCTCAGCCCAACATGGTATGAGAGCAGACAGGGGAAAACTCTAAACTCCTTTTCAAAATCATTTTCAAGACATGGCAACAAACAAGGAAAGGAGCTCTCCTAATGGCTCCTCGGGCACTACTCCCACTCCACCACCAGCCTCTGGCCTGCAGACAGAGGAAGGCACGGCAGCTAGACCAAGGGGAACGTCAACCGAGACGCCCACGAACCACCCTTCTGACTTCGACCAGAACATGATGGAGAAATTCTTCTCCTTCATGTCCTTCTACGAGCAACACCAACAGTCGGGACCTGCACAAGACACACACAGCAACAACGGAGCGGCACCCATGAAGCCTTGACGGGTCGTCATACGCGCGAGGGAATCAACAGCAGCAACCCACCTTCGTCCCGTACGAACGCGGGTCGATCAGCTTCCTGCCTCAACCTCCACCTGCGCAAGACAAACCAATGGATGCTTTACAAGTTTCAAGTCGCAGTTCGCGCATGTTCTGAAACTACAGACATCAAGACATTTCGACGGAAAGGACTTCTCTACCTGGTCCTTTGAATTCGAGTTGATGATGGAGGGCGCGCAGATACTCGGCTTCTTCGACGGATCCCTGCAGTATCCAGCAAACGGGACACAGTATGAGAAGCAGCAGTATGCGTATCAATCCCATGATGGCGTATACTATTCTACTGAGAAACATCACACCAACCCAGCAGCAGAACATTCGCTCTTACCGGAACTTTGGCAACTCGGCGGAACTCGCGTACGGCCATCTGAAGAACCTGTACCAGGCAACAGACAGTGT